TATATTGTTGGAAGAATGATGCGCTTTTTTGGGAATGCCTATCATGTGACGGACGATGAAGATTTCCTCGAGGAAAGTGCCAACGAGAATGTTCCAGAAGAGTCAACCGACAGCTGACCAATAGGACTTCGCCGTATTCTATGATAGGATCGAACTTCGAGTCCCTCCATTGTACACTGCTTCACACCAAGTCGAAGTGAGTTAAGCAATTTCGGGCGAATCGGACTGTGGGACAAGGAAGACATGAAGAGGGCCTTTAAAGCGATTGGCCAGTTCTAGGCCTGCTTTAGTTGCCAAGGCTGCCAACAGACCCTGTGCCCCCCACCCCCACCCCAGTTACAACATGACGTCTGCCCTCAGGAGGACAGGCTCGAGGGTTACAACTTACCTTTTCGATGCTGACGCCGTCCGGGTGTGTGGTGGCCAGATGCACCGGTGCCACGACCAAGTGGTAGTCGCGGATTTTGCCACGCTCCTCACTCACTCGCGTCAACTGCATCACGACCTCGCGAGAACTGGCCCGAACGGACACAGGAACTGGAGGTACCACAGAAAGTGGTGCTGAAGCGAGAAGAAGACGAAAAAAAACAAATTTGGTCAACAACCTGAAGCAGCACTTGGGCACTCTCTTGTTGTAAACCAATATGCTGGACTTCAATCTCGTTTAGTGGTTGGGTTTTGAGGCCTCCATAAACGAGAAGTGAATGAAGCCATTAGTGGGAATTAAAATTGTGGAATAGATCGTTGATGAGATGAACCTAAAAGACCTCTTTATTATACATACTGTTAGTTAGAAAAAATGGCTAGACTATGAGATAAATGATTTATTTCATCCGGATCTCTTTCAGAGAGGAATTATGTACCAAACCGAAAGAAAGATTGCCACAACTGCCTAGCCACCGTTTTCAAAGATTATATTCACATGGTAGATGGTATCTCTATCTCACAGGGCCCCATCCTTTTCCTTCACTTCCACAATGTATGGTCAAGTTTTGTCTCCAACCCTTTTTGTATCTTCGTTCATTCCGACGCACCTTATGCCTGCTTACCTTTTCCGCCTTCAAGACAGGCTTAACTTAATAAATTATGATGAGTAACTTTAAAAACTATCCATATTTGAAGATATGAAGACCAAGATGTTGTGGTCTTTGGTATGGTCGCGGTCCCCTTTCCATTTATAGAAGTGGGTTGACCTCGTTGTCGCAATTTGGTTTTGTTGTCAGGGCTACTTAGTAGAACGCACTTATTCCGAAGTCGTCTGCCATAGTAGTTGTCATGATTCCCAGCATCAGACAGTTGACTTGGTACATTCTCAAAACGTTTCGCCGGCATCGTACTCAGCATCATCAGTCCGTTTTGCCATTCTCCACATCGAGCTACGAACTCGTTTGAGAATGTACCAAGTCCATTGTCTCATGCTGAGAATCATGACAACTACTATGGCAGACGATTTCGGACTAAGTGCGTTCTACTAAGTCGCCCTGACAACAAGACCAAGTCGCGACAATAAGGTCAACCCACTTATATCCATATTTGATTTACCTTGAGCGATTTGGGGTGACTAAGTTTTTCTTTCAGATTTAATTAATATAAAGTAAACTACTTATATAAGAGATAAGTAGCAGAGTTGATTTAAAACTAGTATTTGCCATTAAAATTGTCTACATTATTTATATTCCTATTGAGTAGGCATCAATACAACCAGTTGATTAGATCATAAGTCACGTAAGGCGATTATGGACATAGACATGCATGTTTCTGCAATGATAGAAGTTTTGGCATGGGACTTGTTCATGAACATGAAGTTCTTATGGAATTCTTCGAGTAACAGCAGGTGTCATCGTTGGTATGGGTAGATTTTTTCCAGACTAACTGTAATTCTTGAATAAGCGCCAACTCAGGTTGGACCAACTAAGATTACTTATACACGGATAGGTAAGATGGGTTTGAAAGGTCAATTATCGGTCCTCAAACCAACCAAAGCGACACCGGATGACCAACTTATTACACTCACTTTCAAGAATAGTTCAATGTCCCACAAATTAATTATGCCGAAAGTAAGTAATGCTCCCGATTGCAAACTTATTTGGCATTAAAGATGACTATTTCATTTATATTTATACTGATTAGGTGTTAGTACCACCAGCATATTATGCATCAGAACTGTTTTCTCTCTAAGTCGCGTAAAGCGATCAAGGACTTAAATTTACAATTTCCCGCTATAATATAAGTTGTTTGACAGACTTTTGCCTCATCTTAAATCTCATGTCTGTAATATGGCGGACGAATTTACAAACTCCTACTCGTGTGTCTACATTTGTCATTGTTCCACAACCTAAGAGGCCTCATAAGTATATTTCAGCACAAGTAGATTTCGAAAATAGCAGTAATATAAGTAAAAAATAAAACAGTAAATAAATACACACACACACACACATATATATATATATGAACTTTACATAAATCCATAAAAGGCATGGCTAAGGGTAATTCAGTTTCCTCATAAAGCTTGGTGGAAAACCTCAACGATCAGTCCCTTAAGCGAGCTATGATGATTAAGTTTGTATTCATTACAAGTAGTCGGGTGAAGTAGTATGTAGTGAGAGAGAAAAAATGACAATGAGATGACACAGGCATGCTGTCGACAAAGGGGCAGCAGGTCGAAGGTTCACATCACGAAGACGCCAACTTTACGCTTGGCTACTTGTTTCAATGCGCCTCATTTCGCTGTTTACCTAAAGCCATCCGTCGTTGAGGCCATTCGCTGCCAGGAGGTCAAAAATGGCAGGAAAAGGGGGTGTCAAGGGTCGTGGTGAAGTGATAATCATGAGGGGCCGGAATTTGGTCAGTCTGACTTTGCTCCGTCTCCGCGATTTATTGGCGCTTTGCGTGATCTACAGCAAATGGCCGTCTGGTAACGGTTGCATGGGCATTGGCGATGCCGTAGCAGCTCGCTGTCATGACGATTCAGTCGGAGTTGAGCTAGACGCGGGCTTTGATGGGGGCTGTGGTGGAATGGGGAGGAGAAGAGGTCTTTAGCGTTTTGACGGGAATCGGGCAAATGTGTCTTCTTTCCCATTTTCGCCATTGTCACCGAGTCAGTCGGCTGAACCGATGATCCGACCGTAGCGATGGTTATCTTCGTCGGTCTCGGACGGCTGGAACTGGGTCGTAGAGGCGCAAGCGCACACATGTCGTACGTGCCAGTTCGAGTGGCTCTCCCCTCTCACCAGCTTTGGTCACCGGCCAGCCTGAGCTGGAGCCGAGACGTCGAGGCGTCACGGATTGACAAGCAACGTTGACGACGGCAAGACGAATGCGGGGGACGAGTCTTGAGGTCAAAATGAGAGTTCAATGCAGGCGAGGGTAGAACGAGTTTCCGCCTCTTCTCTTGGTTGCTGCACAAAATTCGAGGTTGTTCCGTTTCATCGCAAAAGTATACACAACACAAGTGGCCAAAATTGCCATTTCTTTTCCTTCACTACTCGTTAGTAGTGCTATCCTCTAGCTTCCCCGATGGTCATTGCTTTAGTCGACTCATTCTACGCCACTTCTATGCCTTTTTTC